AATTAAGGCTTTGATCTTGACCTGAATGCTCAGCAAATGTTCCCAGGCATGTTTTGAAGAATCCCRGTCTCCTGTCAATGAATTTAGTGCATCTTTGTAAGGAAAGCCAAGTTAGAAGGATCTGTTCAGCCCTATTGTACACTGACATGTTGGAAGTGGGGACAGGGGACCTGGCACTGCAGTACTGCCTCCAGCACATGGCACAGGGTGAGTGCCCATAGAATGGGAACCTTGCAATTATTGGTGCGTTGAGTTTTGCTTCCTGAACTCCAGGAAAATGGATGACTGCTCCTTGGTGTTTACTGCCCTAAGCAAAACACAATCTTCCTTCCAGGGGCCTGGGACAGACCTTGCAAATTGCCCAGCAATTATTTTTCTACTTGTCTACCACCCCACTGGATGGGGAGTACTCTTGCAGGTGGAGACCATGCCAGACCATGGTCCGTCTATACTACACACGCCTGGCACAGAGTAGATAAAGGGGTGAATGAATGTAGGAACAAATATATTGCTGATAGGGTTAAAACCAAAAAGTATGTGTATGTGTGTGTGTAGCCCAGCAATTCTCAAGGTTACTGAGAATCTCCCAGACTGCTTGTTAATATGTCAATTTCTACGTCTTACTGAAAGACTAGAGAATCAGAAGTTCTTCAGTGGGGACCCAGGCTACCTCTGAGCTACATCCTTAGCCCTTTTTAAAAATTAAAAAAAAAAAAATTTAGTTGTAGGTAGACAAAATACCTTTATCTTATTTATTTTTATGTCGTGCTGAGGATTGAAGAGACTTAGGGTCTTTTAAGTTGTAGAGACTGGCCTCCAACTGGGAATCCTCCTGTCTGAGCCTCCCAAGTCACTGAGATTGCAGGCATGGGCCACACCATGCTTATGTAGGGCATCTGTATTTTAATGAAACTCCCTGGGAGATTCTCAAGGATACAGACTTTGGGATTACTGCCCTAGATGAACTCTGCAGAGCTTGTTTCTAAGCCCTTATCACTTTCAGAAAATGGATTCTCAGAGTGTTCTGAGCTTTTAAGACTTAAATAGTCAATTCCAACCTGAGTTTCCCAGTTGCCTGTTTGATAGAAGAGGGAAAGAAGCATCTGAGATTTCTAGATCATGGTGGGGGTCAGGGACGTAATCAGAGGACTGAACATCATAACAGCACACTCAGGAAATCAGAAGTGGGCAGTGTCCCAAGGCTGTCGAAAGYCCATTTCCGGGTATTGAAGAGAAACTGGGAAGGGAGCCCCTAAGAARAGAATACAGACCTGGGCCCCAATTTAATCTGGCTCTTCAGCCCAGGATGCAGAAGAAATTTCTCCATCAACATGCCGACCAGGAAGCACAGGCCCAGCTCCCAGCAGACTGTGCACGCTGGATCAATTGGAATTGAGTCACAGATATAATTAATTTAATGTGTTTAAACGATTTTCCATATAGTAAACATGTTGAATGAGGGTGACCCGGAAAAAAGTGTCTGCCTGAGAGTGAAAAGATGGAGGCCCCGTGTGCTGCATAATGAAAACCTTCAGCAAATGGAAAATGCTTCAATTTATTTCCTTCTCCTTGTTCCTTTCCTTTCTAACTCTTTGTTGATAGTTGAACTTGGCCTTCTGCGGTCTCCCTGGACCACAGAGGCACATTTTATTTTGTCAGAAGAAGTTCTTTTTCCTGTGATCAGAAGACAATTTTAATGAAATCCATTGGCAACCAGGGCCAAGCACATATTAATATGTGACAAGGGGACAAGGAAACGAGGTGCAGACTGTCTTCCTTTGCAGCCCTCTCAACTTGAGGTCACAGTGGTGCAACCAGAGGGCTGTGGCGTGGAGCTGAGTAGAACCCGATGGTGACCATGCTGGCTTTTCCGAACCATCTTGCCAGGTGACTTTGACAGAGTCATTTCCCCTATCTGACCTCGGATACTCATCGATAACATGAGGGTGTTGTATCTGAGGATCTTTTAGGACAGCTTTCAGGTCTGATATTCCCTGAATTCTGAGACACAAACTGGAACAGGTGTCAAGGAATTTCCCATTAAAAAGAAATTCATCTCCGAGCCCTGGAAAGCGCTTTCGGCAGTCCTTATCTAATTGCTCATCAACTGGGGATTATGTATTATTTGGCTTCGATGAAAGGGAGMGCTTACAAGTGGTTATAAATGGTCCCTGACGAAGCGACACAGGCACCCAGGCAAACGCTGACTTGGAAGATCATGAGAGACGGCGAAACGGTCCCTAGATTCTGTAGCTGTCTATTCATCTACCCTGACTTGGGTTACTGTGAATTCACCCTACTAAATGGGAAGCCAAGTTTGAAAGAAGCATCCCACATTTTGAAACGGCCCTGCTCCAATGCTGCCCCTCTCAGAGCCTCAGCCCGCGTGGGGCAGAGAAAGGATGGGCAGGTAATTTGCCTGGTGCTCTGCCCAGCCTTTCTGGGGGTTCTTGGCGGGCCACAAGATGGCCGTGGGGGAGAGGGACAGAACAGGTGGGGCTCTGGCTCCTCTGCTGCCTGAGATGTTCCTCTTTTGTCTGTTTTATATACTGAGCTCCTGTGAGATTTTATAACAAGGGGTTCTGAGGATAAAAAGATTTTTTTTTAAACCCTAGACTGAGGCGAGCTGTTCAAGTTTCCAGCCTGAATCTAGGTTGTGCTATAAAAACACACTTGGCCAATAACTACATGGAGCCTTTACTTCTGCACCGTGGGAGTGGACGCCCAGCACCTTCGGGTCCCTGCACCCAGGGGTTTTTGGAAATTCACTTCTTTTGTAGCAAAAACCAGAGCCTCCCCAGCAGCCAGAGCACTGGAGCTCAAGCCTGATGGGAATCTGGGAGAGGCTGTTGAGCACCAGGTGGGGGGGTCCCACCCCCAGAGGCTGATTGGCTGGGACTGGAACCCGAGACAATGCATTTCTCACAGCCCCAGGTGACTGGMTGCATCTTGGGAGTGGTTGGCCTATGAGATCTCCGCCAGGCTCCTTAGCTTGTCCCTCCAGAACTGGCCCCAACTTATCTTCCCAGTGTCTGACCCAGGGGACTATCCCCCCTGCCTGCCCCCACCTCTCTCCACTCATCATGCCCTGGTGGCCAGGCTGCCAGCATGTCCAGCTCCCACCCACCCATCAAGGCACAGTTTRACAGGCACCTCTTCCAGAAAGCCCTCCCTGACTTTTTCACCAAAATTCACAGAAAAGCCTCCCCGCTTGCATAGTTTCTCCCAGGGTACCAAGCCCCAGTCTCTACCTCCACCTGCTTTTTTTGGTACTGGGAATTGAACCCAAGGGTACTCTACCACTGAGCCACCACTAACTTTATTATTCTTTTTTTTTKGGGGGGGGTACTGGGAATTGAACTCAGGGGCATTTGACCACTGAGCCACATCCCCAGCCCTATTTTATATTTTATTTAGAGACAGGGTCTCATTGAGTTGCTTAGGGCCTTGCTAAGTTGCTGAGGCTGGCTTTGAACTCTTGATCCTCCTGCCTCAGCCTCCTGAGCTGCTGGGATTACAGGTGTGCACCACTGTACCCGGCTGATTTTTTTTACTCTGAGTCAGGGTCTCACTAAGTTTCTGAGACTGGCCTCTAACTTGTGATCCTCCTGCCTCAGCCTCCTGGGGCACTGGGATTGCAGGTGTGTATCAGTGTTCCCAGCTGGTACTGAGCATTTTTAACCTCTCCATGTCAGTCTGTCCAGATCTTGTCCCTGTATCTGGACCACAGGCTCTGCAGTAGGGAGTGCATCTTCCCTTGGTATCCACACCACTGGGTACTCCCAGCATCCCACAGAGCCTGTCCATCACAATAGCACAGCTGAGTACACCCATGCACAAATATAGACACTGAAGATATGCAACAATCAGCTCATCTTATCTGCTCCCTGAATATCCCAAGACAGACTCACTGACTCTCTAAATGACTCACAGGAGTCATGGAACACAGGACAGCACTTTAGTCCATCCAACCTTTTCTGCAGACAAATGTCCTCTATTTTCTGGGAGGAGAGTGAAGGGCAAATACATCATCAGGAGACATAAGTGACTCCATTACCAGAAGGTAGTAACAATGCAGCAATTAAGAGCCAGACTCAGGTTCAAGTATCAGCTCCGCCTCTGATTCGCTGTAACTTAAATGCTCCAAGTTCCAGGCTCCTCATGTTTAAAAGGGATAATAACAAGACCTACTTCTATGGGKCATAAAATGCCATGAGACCATTATTAACAGTAACCATGGCTGGCATTTCCTGGATACCAAGCACCACACACAACATATCCTTGAGTCTAATCTACATAGTATGGAGCACCTGATAAGCATTCAAGAAATATTAGCCATTATTAATGCTAATTTCCCAGCTCCCATGCAAGATATATATATATATATTTTTTTTTTAATTTTCTTAGCTTTATTTTATTTGTCTATTTTTTTTGTATGTGTGTGGTGCTGAGGATCAAACCCAATGTCTCACATGTGTTAGGCAAGAGGACTACTTATGAGTCACAACCCCAGCCCCAWTGCATACATTCTTATTATTCCCACTCCTCAGATAAAAAACCGGAGGCCCAGAGCCAATTGCTTACACAAGTATTAGCAAGTTGTTATGCGCCATAGCTAATCTTTCTAAGTRCCTTGCAAAACAGATCCTATTCCCGTTTTATGAATGAAACTTCAACAGTTCAAAGAAGATACCTTGTAAGGGAAGACCCAGGACTTGAAYCTGCCTTTGCCAGCGCTCCTGCTCCCCACCCCACCTCGTGGTAAAAGGCACCTGCCCAGGTAATGTCTACTCTCTCTGTCCTTTCTCAYCTGTGATGACAGGCGGTTCCGGGTGTGTCAGTGAGCACAGCAGTCCTGCCCCTCCGTCCAACACCCGGTAACCCCGTGGCCCACAGAGAGGACAGGTTACACACCAAAAGGTGGGTGATGGCCCCTCCTCCAGCCTTGCCTGTCCCCGAAGGACACTAAGGAAAACAGAGCGCAGAGGCGCGGGACTGACCGTGACCCCAAAGAAGTTGGTCTCATTCATGGCATTGAGGATGATCCTGCCCAGCGTGTGGTCTGTGTAGTTGAAGTCCTGGATCCGCTGGTGCCGGCTGCTGGCGTGCAAAGTCTCCATGGCCCTCTGCAGTGTCTTGGCGATCACCCAAATGCCATCGTAGGCATAGCCGTGGAACTTGCTGGGCCCCACACCTGAGCGCTTGTTGTTGTACTCCCTCTCATACTGCTGCGGAGTCTGGAAAGACAGGGGTGGGTCACACGTTACAGCAGGGACATCAGCACTCAGGTGCCTCCTCTGCACCCAGCACGGTCACCTCCCTGAATCCTCACAACCACCTCAGGAGATGGATGCCATCGTTCTTCCCATTTTACAGATGAGAAAACTGATTCACAGCAAGGGGTTGGCACAGGGCACAGAGGTAGGGAGGGACAGGGCTGTTCCACCTCCTGTCCTTCACCCACTGGAGTGAAGCTCTGTGAGGACGGAACGCATCACCAGGACCCCACACATGCCTGTGTAGACCCTTGGCCTCAGTTTCTCTGTTTACAAAATAAAGGGGCATACCTGTTTACACTTAATCCCAAATATCAAAGGTGATATCCCACTGTGTATCAATGTATCCATTTCCTTGCACCCTTGACAGTAAGTATTTTAATTTTAAAAATCATTGACAGAAAAAAAATTAATTCTAATTTGCATTTCTCCTATTAATAACAAGAGTGAGCACCTTTCAATTATTGACCAGTAGTTTATTTCTTAATTAAATTTCTTCCCTATGCCATATTGCTATGGTGATAGTTAACATCTTTTAATGGTTTGTTTTAGTGCATCTTGCTATCTTTCCATCTTTTATTACTTGGCCATATTTTCTTTGATTTAAAAAAGTGATTTGGGTCCATTTCTGGTTGTTAATTCGGCTATCAGCTATTTTAAAGGTATTGAAAGATTACTTGGCTATTTAGTTTATTAATTAATTGCCTTAAGTATGAAAGAAATGTGGTACTTTGTCTCTGGCCTCTGAATTTTGTTCCTATGAGCTTTCTCTGATGGACACAAAGGTATCTGAGGGTAGGGTGGTGTCTTTCGGTCAGTTTACCATCACTACAACAAAATACCTGAGATAATCAAATTAAAAAGAGAAAAGAATTATTTTGGCTCACAGTTTTGGAGGTTTCAGTCCATGATTGGCTGGCCCCATTGTTTTGGCCTCCTATGGTGAGGAGTGCATGGTGGAGCAAAACCTCTCATATCACCAGCAGGAATGAAGAGAAAGAAGAAAGGGTAGARCCTCACTCTCCCCTTCTAGGGTATGCCCTAAATTAACCTGAGGACCTTCCACTAGGCCTCACAGTTCCACCACCCCTCTCAGGACCACCCCAGAGACTGAGCCTTTAWTACACAGGCCTTTGGGGGACACATATTTAAACCACAGCAGTGACCATTTTGAATTCTATTTGTTCAACCTAGTGACTACATTTACTTGATCCTTCTAGACAGTCCCAACCAGACCACGGTCCTCCAGTGTCCTTCAAGGTTTCCATGATCCTCTAACCTTGCCCGTATGGTCTCTCTAGGAGGTAACTAATTACAATTTTTAAAACTTTCTTGGTGTCGTTTTGTGTGTGTATGTGTGTGTGTGTGTGTGTGTGTGTGTGTGTGTGTGTCTATGTGTACAACAAGGGGGCCTATATCCTATTGTTAATTAGCCCCTATCTTTTTAGATATGCCACTTGTGAATCTATTTCTTTTCTACCTTACAAAACTGTTCTTCCTTGGGACAAGGAGCAGGAACAGGGCCAAGAACAGCAGGAATACAGCTATTGACCACATTTCTGAGTAGAGTCCTTGGAATGGAACACAGGTGTAGTTGGGCTGAAAGGTGACCTTGTTCTTGCTGTGCTTGCTACCACCTTATATCCCAGCCATTCATCACTGTTCCTAGGTGACGCCAGCCCAGTCTCCCTTGGGCCAAGCAATGACAGCAGAAGAAACGTAATTGTCAGAGAAAACAGTAATAGTTGTTCCTAAAGCAAGCCTCCAATTATTCAGGGCAGAAGAATTTCTTCAGTTGTAAACTTGACACTGAATGTTAATTGCTCATCCTTTGGGGTCAAGTTTATTGTGTGGTACTAAAAGTTTCTGAGAAACTAACTTTATATAGACAGTCCCCCTTACTGACAAGTTGTGCTCCAGCATATTTTTGAAAGACAGTTGTTAAAACTTGGAACATATTTCCCCACAGAAACTAGGTTATAAATAGTGGTTAGGTTCCCAGGCTAGCCCACACAAGCTTGCTAGCCCACGATGTGACTAAACTTTAAGGGTCTGTCATTCCAACAGAACCTAGCCTGTTCCCGTCCTGGGAACAGGAGAGAGGAAGACAAGGACACACCCTTCKCAATAGCTTCAGCTGCACCCCTAGGGCCACAACTGTCTGAACTCCAGCCCAGCACGGATGGGATGTCTGAGTCACAGCTTTGGTGGGAAGGAGCACCAGGGCATGTTTAGCTACTGGCTCCCACACTACAGTTATCGAATCCCTCGGGGAGCTTATTGGAAATGCAGATTCTGGGGCCATATTTTGTTTCATTATGTTGATAAGTGAATTGCACATCTGTATTTTTTTTTTAATTTCAGGTTTCAAGTATACACAAAATGATGACCACTGAGTCCCTCCTGCAATATGATTCTTGGACCCTCACAATAGAAACTTCTAGATGTTTGTTGAGTCCCTCCTTAGCCTCTTCAGAGTTGGGAAGCTCATTATTTCTTCAGAATGAACTTTTGCCTAAGAATGCCTGATGGCAATGAGAATGTTCTTCCAGGGGCAGAGCCGACACCTGCCTCCCTGACTTGGGTTCCATGTGCTACAACTTCCTGTGGAGCCACAGGAAGACATCTGCTCCCTCCAATGCACATCAGCCCCACAGAGAGCTGAAGCCAAGGATGTTCTCACCCCACCCCAAGGTGGAGTTCTCCTGGCTCAGTAATCTCAGTTTAGACTCTACCACGACTGGGATGAAACAGCAAAGCTTCCATCAAGAGCATTTAACACAACAGAAAAAGATATGAAAATAGTTTTTAAAGGCCTCAGAAATTTACCAGGACAGTCAGGGGAAGRGCCAACATTCTGGAAAGAAGGGAAATACTTTGAGGTGGGTCAGATATTGTTGCAGAGGGACTTGCTGCTTAGTTAGTAGGAAGCGCACTACAGAGACAGAAAACACTGAACCAGGGCTTCCAGAGGCCCTTGGAAGGGGACTCCAAAACTGTAGTGCAGGGATACCAACACAGCCAGACTTTCAGGGCCAAGGACCTAGAGGAAGGAACTGTAGAGAAGGGAGTCTTGCATTTTGAGTGGCATTTTTAGTTCAAAAGTTGATAACCAAGCTGAATAAAGCAAGGGGCTAAGAAGCCAGTCAAAGAGGGTGAAGGAAACAACCAGAACTGTTYGGAAATTCCACAGTATTGGGAAGACAAAATTTAGAGTACTAGGCCAGTAAAGACCCCAGGACTTCAGTTGAAAACACTAAGGATCACACACTAGGAATAAGGGCAAATCAAAACAGACCAGGCCTATGAAAACTAAAACTGAACCTGGAATCATTTAAATTCCTGATTGAATTAAGAATTCAACTGCCAGCTTGAAGAGAAATAAATATTCACTAGAAAGATAACACCAGTAGCAACTACAATTTTCTTATATAATGCATTTAACTAAACTTTACCAGGTATACCAGAAGACAAGACCAGATGATATTTAATTTTTTAAAAAGGAAAAAAACCAAATAAACAGGTAATTAGAAATGAACACATGGGTGATCCAAATCTTGAAGTTATTATACATGAACTTTAAAATATCAAGGTTTATAAATTCAAGAAAATACATTACAAGATGCAGAACATCACCAGAGAATTGAAAGCCACAAAAAGAAGAGAGAGAGAGAGAGAGAGAGAGAGAGAGAGAGAGAGAGAGAATGGAAATTCTAAAAATTAAAAAAAAATACAATAACTGAAATAAAGAACTCAATAGATGGGCAAAGCAGCATGTCTTAGTGGACTGAAGTTATTTAGGGGTAAATATTCAGACTGAAGCACAGGGAGGAAATCAGTATTAGAGATGCATAGATTGTATTGAAAATGTATAACATGTACAATTTTCATCTTGGAAGGTAAGAAAAGGGAATAGAAAGAAGCAATATTTAAAGGGATACCATTCTAGAATTTCCCCAAACACACATCAATCCACAGATGCAGGAAGTTCTATGAACTTCTGTGAATTTCAATGAAAATAAACACAAATCTCACTTCAGCACAGCATAAAAAAAACTGTCAAAGATCAAAGCAAAAGAAAAGTCTTGAAAGAAACTAGAGAGGAAAAAAAGATGCATTACTTTCMGAAGAGCAAAAATAAGCCTGACAGCTGATTTAAGAGAAGCAATGGAAGCCAGGAGACAATGGAATGACACCTCAAAGTGCTGAAAGAAAATAACAATCTAGAAGCTACACCTGGATTTTAAATTCTCAAGATCAAAGGTGAAATAAAATATCAGAAAACTATGAATTGAGAGAATTTGTCTCTCACAGTAAAAGAAGAACCAAGAGGAGTCCTTCAGACAGAAAGGTAGGATCATAAATAGAACAGAAATGCAGGAATGAATGAGAAGTAATGAAAAGTAATAAAAGATATAAGGGAAAGATATAAAGAAGCAATAGAAAATGTGAATAAATGAAAAAATGATACCAGGGCTAAGAACATCCAAGAAAATCCTRAAGAAGAAGAACAAAAATTATAATGCCAGGCATCCTGTTTTATTATAAAACTCCAGTAATCAAGACAGTACAGTATTTGTTAGAAGATAGACAGAGCCAATGGAAGATAACTCAAAGCCCAGAAACAGATCCACACTCTGTACTGTCATTTGAGTGACCATAGCATGGGTAGAGGGGTGGGGGATAATGGCCCTTTTCAATAAATGGTCCTGAATTAATTGAATGTCCATGAGGGAAAAAATGAATCTTGGTCTTATTTCAGGCCATATATAAATTCAATTTCATGTAGATTCCATATATAAATGTGAAAGATAAAATAAAACTTCTAAAACACAGTGCATGAAAATATCTTCATGAGCTTTGGGTGGGCAAAAATCCTTTAACAAGACATAAATATACAGAAGCTGAATGAATTGAGTTACCTTAAAATTAAGAAATTCTATGCATTGAAATTAATCAAT